TTCTTATGTGTCATAAAAACTAGGAAACGAAAACCTTAACAAATACATATTTGTATTTATCGTCAAAATAATTAACGTTATTGAGGATTCAACCTTGATCACGGGACCTAAGTTAATTCTTCTTCCGTACCTTGACAAATGGGTGAGTAAGCAGCTCTTTACAATTAGGACGCTCTGTAGGCTTCCTAGAGAGTCAAGATATCAATAAGCTGACTGTTTTCTGTAACCAACACCAACTACCGAATAGTTGGAGTGAACACGCTCCCACTGTAAACTGATATGAGGCGACTTTGAGCGTCAACTAGCAACTAGACTAGACTAGACTAAAAGATAAAGACTAGACTAGACTAAAACATAAAGGAAGGTTGAGAGGGGAGGAGCTTCCACTTTTACAGTAACCGGAAGCAAGCAAGGCGCTATTTCTCTTTCATTCCCCTCTCCCTCGCAGACCTTTTACTCCTACAAAATAACTCTCTACATACGACAATACTAAAAAGTGCAATGCCACACAAGGTTCACCTGAAGACACTTGACGTTCTCTGTTTAATTTACGCACCATTTCATTGCGGCCGAACAAAAGGAGCTCACAATAATGTATAGTGGAGCTCCACGCACACGCGAGCCTAGCCCCATTGTAAGAAAATTTGGTAATCTATCTATCCAAGAAAATTAGGTTATAACGTCAGCGTACGCCCGCCCGTACACTCTTTGGGGTTAGGGGGTAAAAAACTTAGTAGGGTAGGGAACGGAGTCCCAGACATGTACGTTGAGATTCGTTTTTGGCGCAAAAGTAATCATTTTATGAGCAACCAACGGAGTTGCTGAGTAAAAATCTAGATTGAAGTTTCTTGTGTTCGACCAGGAGCCCATGATGGGCTTCTGGTTCGACTTACGATCGAAATTTTCAGAAAGAAATTTCGGAGCTGTAAAGTTTGAAAAATATCGTGTTCTTGTACTACCGCCACAGAATGAAATACAACTGCTGCCATTTTTTTTCTGTTTTTTCAAAACTGAATAGGCCACTTGCACTAAGAGGTCATGTGACCAATGCTTCCTTTAAACAATGAGTTGGAATCTTGCTGATGCCAAAAATTGACGGAGCGCATAAAAATTATCCTACAACCGAAATTTGAGAGGAAACGAATTTAAGGGAGATATTTTATGGTAGTTTAACTAATTTTTAAACAAGTAGTATGATTTGTATTGGCCGCATACTCTTGCCCTTCAACATGGCGGCCAAAACTACTTTTTGCCTGTATCTTGTTAAACGTTAAATAGTTACGCTCAGAAGGCTGAAATCGTTACCACATCAGTGGCTTTTCAACAATTTTCTTGAAGTTTAAGTGCAAAATCTCTGTTCAGAAAGAGGCAATTCATCATAGTTAAAAAAAAAATTACATTTTGGTCACGTGACAAGCTACGAACTTAATCATTTTAAGAAAATGGTGCCGGTTTGGAAAACTAAAATCCCCATTATTTTGTTTAAGATACGACCCACTAATCGTTTTTTGAAGGCAAAATCATATAACTTTCATTTTCATAAAAATGATGTCACATGACCTCTTAGTGCAAAATGGCCTATTGCTTATTTGGTTTTTCGTCGAGGAAAGTGTTGCAAAAGTGCGGATCATTTTACGTTTCTGGGAAACTGCCCACCTACCTCTCCCCTTAGCCAGCATTAACACTTTCGTCTCACTTGGAGAAAAATGTTGGCTTAGGGGAGGGGTAGGTGTGCAGTTTTCCAGAAACGTATAATGGTCCGTTCATGCAGCCTCTTAACGGCGGACTACAGAAAAATCTTTTCACATTTCACATTTTTTTTAGTCTTCGTGTTCTTCGAAAATGCGACAGCTGATTTTATTACAAAGTGCGATGGTCTGTTATTAAAAAGTGCGACAAGTGTTATTAAAAAGTGCGACAGAACAACGTTTCAGTCACGTAGAGTTACCCAAATATGGTTACATGCATGTGGGTACGGAAAAGACGTACAGGGAGCTGTGGAGTTTTCCTTTACTTTGATTATAAAAGGGACAGAGAGGAACGACACGCTAAGACCCTCTTACTAATCTTTTACGGCTGAGTAGATTGCAGTACTGTTAAGGATCACTCATACATTGTGGAGATATATTTACTTGTATCGCCATGTTTCCACTCAGACATTTTCTAGACCTGAGACCACTCGCACTGAAAACGCGCAGAACGTGTGCCATTTATTTCGTTGCACAGACTATTGAACGTTGGTTGCTTTTATCGTGTTGGTTTCGAAGTTGCCTACTTCGATGCTATTTTTTATCCCTTCCGAAAACATGTCAACTAAACTTAACCTCAGAATCCTCATATCCTTATCGCCAAACTCACTAACCTCATTAACCTTTGGGTATTTCTAGTATACCTCTTACTGTTAATGGAAATCACGCTTAGTTTCAACAGGGCAGATTATCCGTTTAACCAGTTTTGAACTAAAACGTAAAAACTAGCCAATACCTAGCCCAACCTATTGTCAATAACGCATTAATACTAACCAAGTCAGTGCGGCACGCACAAAGTCTCTCGCTTTTTCGGTGCTGTCTGGCAGTTTAACCTCGACGGGTTTACTACCAATGCGAAACATGGCTGCCTGTGGTTCAAGATTCTTCAAAGGGGGGTCTCCTGTCAGCATTTCTACTACAGTACAGCCAACACTCCTAAAAGCAGAATATTTGACTTAGTAAAGCTGCGACTTAATTACAACAATCGATGTCTGCCATTGAATCCTGGAGAAAACGATCCCCCAAAATAACGACTCCAGAATTGATCCCTTCTGCCCGTCTACCGGCGTGCTTTCCTTCAAAGCTTCGCTTCAAATGCTTCTTTGCTTGACATCCAGAAATGAATGCAGATAAAGTGGACGGCTATATCCTAACTCGAATTTTGTGTTGAACGTTTACTTGAATATACATGTATATTATACTCAACGTCCAAAGCACACGTCCAGCACAAGAGAACTCAAAACGCAAGATTCCGGCCTTTTACGCTGTTGGTGTGTACTCGAATTTTCCTTCATTTGACATTAAAAAGTTTTTCTTCCCTACAAAATCAGAAATTCTTTCAAATAAAAAAAATGCTTTTAAGTTTGGAATGTTACCGTTTTGTGAGGGACAAAATTGCAAAGCCGGTATAAAGGTTGCAAAGAAAGACGAAATTTAAGTAAAGGAAAAGATGCACAAATGGCAGTAACCTTTGCTTGGAAAACTCGAGTCTTATCATCAGGACAAATGAGATCCGTTATTCCGCACTTATTTATCATTTTTATGTGAACCTTGACTCATTCAGAAGGTGTTAGGGAAGTGAAAAATGAAATTGCTATTAATAAGTTACTGAAACTCAACGAAATCCAGCCATAGATGTAGTTCTGTTCTCTGGACATACCAGATGTCTACTTTGCGTCCATATCCTTCTCCCCATAGGATCTCCGGTGCCATCCAGTACGTAGTACCAACATAGGATGTCAGGTCTGTTTTAGTGCCAATTTTCTAGTTATACAAAGACGAGAGAGAATAAGAACATTCACCAAACAAAACATACAGTTATCACCTGTAAAATGATCCAAATCGATTGCGGGAACCGACATTCAATCAGAGAAGTCAAAGAACTTGAGCCCCACAACTCATCAGGATCATGAAGGTCACCGACGTTAAAAGGAGAACTGATCAGTAAGTAGATAAGTATCAAAACTGCCATAACACTGGCACAGACGGATAATAATTATAATAATCTAATAACAATAATAAAAATAATAATAATAATAATAATAATAATAATAATAATAATAATAATAATAATAATAATAATAATAAAAACTTTTCAAGCTCAAAATAACTAAGCATTCTCCGACTAAATTTTTATTCAGAATTGGGCTGAAGGAGGTGACCTCTTAGGTCCGTTATAAAAGTTTATTGCTTTGGGAGAAACAATGCTTGTTCTTTCTCGGGTTCACAAATGTCTCTCAAAAGAAGGCTCAAGCGTTGTAAAAAAATTCTTACCTAAACTTTGGGAACTGACAAAATATGCCTCCAATGGTTACTATCAGCTTGACGCCTTTTTAGATATTCTGTAACTTCAGTTGGTGAGTGTGTAATTGGCTTTATGTGATCAATTTTAACTTACGTTACATTTTGAGGGGGAGCGTCCTTTGAGTCAAGAACACAATCCAATTAAAAGTAAAAATTCGAGGTATTTTGTGATGATGATGATGATGATTTATTTAGTTACTATTTAGTTATTTTCACAAGCTGCATTAATTTTAGTGCCACATTCAAAGCGTACGCCTAAAGGATGGTTAACGTAAAACCGTCACATGTAACGAAGAGTCATCCAAACTAAAGCGTTTTCTGCTGAAAAAAAAAATCGTGGAATGAGACTTTTAATATTTGTCATACCATGTATGGTATTTAGAGCAATTTATTAATAATACGAAACTAAATCTGATCTGTCTCCACCGTATAAGAGGAAACGTTTCGATAATGCTATTTTTATAATAATGCACACCTTCTCAGCTATTATTACTACACCTGAATTGTTCTTGAGACACCAAAATCAGCCAGTTTCACAGATCTGTCGCTGTCCAAAAGTATATTCGGTCCTGGCAAAAATAAAGATGACGCTGAGAAGAAAGTTACGGTGGGCCGATGGGCAAGCAAATTTTTAGCACAGGAACTAAACGCACCAATCACCAAAAACCACGGTCTTTCTAACCGCCCTGCACAGCCAGTTGCGACTAAACTAACGAAACACGGTGATAAATAACACAGAGACTATCGTGAGATCAACGATTAACAAACCCCACCACAAAAAAATCATGATTAATACGATCTTTGAGAAAGTCAGTGACACGGGCTGCTTTTTATATACCTACGCGCAATGACAGAGATGTGATAGTGAATTTTGAACCTGGCCCCAGTCGCTTTAAAGGGTGGATAACACTATCCACTGGATAAATCTCTATCCAGTGGATAACTCAATTGGGTTCCCTAATACTTATCCACTGGGTAGTGATTTATCCGGTGCATAGCACTATCCAACGTTTGAACAACCGGGGCCTGGTGAATACATAACAAAGATGATTTTTCGGTTAGTTACACGGGCTGGTCGGGAGAAAAAAATCCGTGTACTCCCAATAGAAGATGAACATATGACAGTCTGTTTACTAGTGCGGATGCTCTTCCACTCAAAGCTACAGGAGACTGGTGGGAGCTAAGGCCACTAAACTAGGTTCAAGTGACAAACATCCTGCATACTGCTAGGACTAGAATGTCAATATATACGTATGCGCAATGACAGAGACGTGAGAGTGAATTTTGAGCTTGGCCTCAGTCGCTCTAAAGACCTGAAAGGATTGAAAACACTATCCACTGGATAAATCGCTATCCAGTGGATAACTCAGTTGGTTTCCCTAATACTTATACGCTGGGTAGTGATTTATTCGGCGCATAATAGTATCCAACGTTTGAACAACCGGGGCCTGGTGAATACAAAGGAAACATGATTTTTCAGTCAGTGGCACAGGCGGCTCAGAAAAAAAGGAGTAGTTTTCGTTAGGAGTAGAACCGATGACCTTGGGATTATATTTTCACATGCGCGCCCGACGATCTCTAAAGAGAAAATAGTAGGTTCTATGAGCTGGCTAAGACAAATTGATTTTACCTTTAATGTCCCGGTGCGTTATTTCATTTGAGTGTAGATAATCCACCCCCTCAAGTATTTGCTGAGTGAACTTCCTTGTTAACTGTTCATCAAGTTTTCCTCTTTGTTTTATGAAGTCATGCAATGAACCCTGCAAAAATAATAAAATTTCGCTACGCTTACATTCTAGCTTTAATTTTCACTTTGATTTCCTTTTGATTATCTAAACGCTTGACACTTCTCTGTCGCGAGGGGTCGCTGCACAACCTCAACTACAGGAATGTTGGCCTACATTTCAGTGACAAAGTAAGTGAGTTGGAATGATCGCGATAAAGATTGAAAGAACGCGAAGTCACCTTTTAAGGGACGTTCGTTATTGAAAATACTTAGGTGCATTGACCTATGACGAACGTTTAGTCACAACCTATTTTCGATTTTAACGCGATAGCTACGAAACTTTGTGAAGAATTACAGTCATTGTACGGCAATTATATGAGATAATCCGATTTTACTGGTGGTAGAAATTTTTTCTTACGAAATTGGCGCTAAAGCGGACCCTACTTTTCAAAGAAAATCGCGACTTGTAAAAAATGTTGCTGATCTTTTTTACTAACTGACTATCAACGCTATTATCTAACAGTTGCCTGTATGGCGCAGAGGTTAGTATACTGGAAAGTCAACGTGCAGGCACACACCATAAAGGTCGGGTCCTAATTCTTCACCACATAAGATGGATACTCGCAACATGGTAGCCACAATCGGCGGAAAAAATTGTTGAAACTTTTCTCTTCAGAGAACGAAACAATCCATTTTCCTCCCCACTCCTCTTCTTTCAAAGTTTATGGGGTGTTTGTTGTTCCCTAGAAGTAGCTCGGAAAGCGTAAAAATATTGCGTGCAGGGGTGGGGGAGGGTAAGCTTTTTATTTTCCCCTTTTTTTAAGTTGGCAAAAGTTAGAAAGACCCTTAACTCGATAGCGGCTTGAAGTAAGAACGAAATACGCACTTGCCTGGACACTTCCTTCAATTTGCTTTAATTGAAAAAAGGATGCAAACCAAGGAAGAAAACCAATAGAATCGTTACACTTGACAGTGGAAATTGCAGGAAGTTTGATAATTTGCTAGCATGACACATGGATGAGTAGACTGCTTTGGCCTATAAAGCACCGCCGAAAACCCCAAAAGGCTCCAACTGATCATGAAAACCCACCGACTTTCCGTATTGATTCTTCACCCGTAGATTAACTAAACAAGTCATAGTTTCAAAGACAAGAACTGGAAAAAGTTCATTTTCCTGTTAACGATAAAGATTGTCGAAATTCTAAACCCTACGCAAGCATGCGATCCGCCGAATATAATATACATGTATTCTCATAATTGCCCATAATTATGTGAATGTTTCTACAATCAACTAATCAATGTCACTACTCGGTTCCGGGGAAAGAGTGACATCACCGGACGGCATTATTGGCTCGGGAGTTTGCGAATAGAGGAGACGGCTGAAGACTAAAATTAAGGCTAATGTAACAGATGACGGGAGTACATTTGTACAACTTCGGAGTCGAAAGCTGTTGCTGTTAAAAGGGATAACTCATGACAGGGAGCATTAGTGCTTATCTCCACTTTTTGGCGCAAGCAAATAAACCTTGTCAAGGACAATGGGCACCTATGGATTAAAAAGCTCTTACCCCAGGCATGAAATCCAAAAATAGATAAATGAAGTCTCCCTTTTGTTCACTTCCATGAAAACGCACAATTCTCCGATGTCTAAGCCTACTCAACTTGTCAATTTCATTTTGAAGTTGCTTAACTTCCTGAAAAAAATAGTAGTATACCCCATTATTGTATAAGAAAGCCCTAAAGAGTGCATTTCTTTTTGCAGGGCTATTATATAACTCACTTGTCCTGTATCCCTGCCCTGTGAGTCCCAAGAACTGCGTATCAAGTGACGTCCGCATTCGCCCTTCGTAGAAACCAATGCCACGTAAGAGTCACGTGACTGTCACAAGAAGAAATCTTACCAAAATTCAACCTCGTCCCCAGGGCGCTTTTCTCTGGCTTTGGAGGTGGGGCGCCTACTCCAAAGCCAGGGAAAAGCGCCCTGGGGACGAGGTTGTCCAAAATTATTATATCAGAGTGTCAACATTGATACTGATCATTGAATTAATTGTAATGTGTTTTTCGACCCAGCCCTTGAAATAATAGACAGAATTAGCAAAGAGAATGCGATGACAGATAAGAAAAACGCGTGAACCTGACTTCTGGTGCTCATTTTGCCATTCTTATCATGTCGGTTTTGAGATCTGCGCGTTGTCGTCTCCGTTGTCGCCTTCTCTTTGCTACCTCTGCCTATTGTCTCAGCAGGATGACGGATATCATTCAGTCGTGGTCACTTCTAGAAAGACCCACTATTAAAAGATGACTGAAAAGTTTGACGTCAGCTCCAGGGGACGATAAATTTTCCAGTTTGACAAGCCACTATTTTTAGTCCATTGATTGCCAAAACATTGCATGTGGCAGAGAAAGAATTTAATTCGGCTACATCACAGTGCTCATTTATTATTTTACTTCTATAGTAACATCTTGCTGGTTGCTGTGCTTGGCGGTGTTTTGTACAACAACGTCAATACTATGTTCCATAATAACCATAAGTTAGAGCATAACACAATACCATAAATTTACTAATTGGTAGCAATTTTAAGAGGAGACATTTTTGCTGCCAAGTATAATACCTTATAATAATCAAGAATCTTACGATCTTATGATCTTTGTGAAATGACTAACCTCTGGCATTTTTGAATACTGAGGCTCCATTTTAACTTCTTTCATTGCCACCTTGGCTCCAGACTCACGATGGGTCAAACTGAACACCTAAGGGGTATCGAAGGGAAAGATACATGAGCACTATTCACTGAAATGGGGAGCAGATTAACAAATAAAATTTCCAGAAACGTCAAGCAATTTTTCTGAGAGAAAAGGAGCGATGGATGGATGGATGGAAGGATGGCCTGCTTAAAAAAACAAACATAAAGAAAACAGGGTTTTTTACGGGATTTTTAGAAACTTCAGTCACACTTTTTGGCTTGTTCTCATCAATAAACACCGTTGTTTTTGAACAAGTTTAATTTCATTGAAATTTTATTCATGCTTTGATTGCCAGTCAAGAATTTTAAGTTTTGACATACGTGTCTCGTAAACTCTACGAAACTCGGTGTGGCACTCAAGTTAAGCCCTAAGGGTCGGGGGGGGGGGGGGGGGGGGAAGATTGGGGTGGGGGAAAGGATTTTAAATAGGGGGAAAAGGGAAAAAAAAAAAACAAAAAAAAAAAAATAATTTTTATTAAAATTTAAAAAAGAGAAAATAAATTTACAATATTTTTTTAACACCATTTTTTTTAATTTTAATTTTTACATTTTTAAAATTATTTTTT